GAGAGTTTCAAACTGGCATCAGCCAGCACCTGGACTTTAATTCCATGTAAAATCCTCTGCAGCAGGGATATCCATCTTTTTGAGTTCCACAGAGAGGGAAAAAACCCCACAAATTTAGTCCAGGTGGGCTTTTGGGTTTATTGTGCCCCTCTGAGGCAGATTTTTGGACAAACTGGAGGCGTTTGTGGGTTTTGCCTCTTTTTACTTTGGTGTCTCCTGCTGGCACGGGCCCTTCCTCATCCCAGAGGCAGCTGCAGAGGAGGAGAAGGAAAAGAGAGAGGGAGAAGAGGAAGGAAAGGAAGAAGGAAAAGAGAGAAGAGGAAAGGAAGAGGGAAGGGAAGGGAAGGGAAGGGAAGGGAGAGGGAAGGGAAGGGAGAGGGAAGGGAAGGGAGCGCTTGGTCCCAGGGGGAATTGCAGGGCACCTTCCTCGTCGGAAAGCTTCTCCCCCAGGCGGGTGAGCTTGGCGCGGAGCTCGGGCGCGGCGATCACTCCTCTCTTCTGCCGGTCGATCATGGCCAGCGCTCTCAGGATCTCCTCCTCGGGCTCCTCCTGCTTCATCTGCCTGTACATGATGTTCAGGAAGGTGGAGAAGTCCAGCTCTGCGTTCCTGTCTGGGAAAGGGAGGGCAGGTCCTTTGGGAATGGCTCCGTTTGGGGCTGGACCCAGGATTAAACACCCTCCTCCTCCTCCCCCAGTTCCCTTTCCTGGGGTTCCCTTTCCTGGGGTTCCTTCTCCCTGACCTTGGGGTTTCCTTTCCCTGTCCCTGATCTGGATCAGGGCACGTCACAGCTGCGGTTTTTCTCCTAAAATCCCATTTAAAGCTCTGTTCAATTTGTGCTCTGAACTCAGATCCTGAATTTTTAATCCCCTCCGCCACCTGATCTCACAATTCCTTTGTTTTTGTGCTTTGTTTTTCACACAGATCTTCAGCTGAACATCTTTCTGTGCTCTTTTTGTTGGCCTGGACAGTTTCCCACCCTCCAAATCCATATAAAATATGGATATGTTTTATGTTTGTCTCCTGTTTTTTTTTTTTTTTAGGGATTTTAATGGCACTGTTTTGAGCAGTTTCCCAACCTCCAAATCCATATAAAATGTTTGTCTCCTGGTTTTTTTTAGGGATTTTAATGGCACTGTTTTGATCCGTGGGCTGGATTTAACACATCACAACAGCTTCTGGAGACTGCTCCGGGTGGATGTTCCCTCCTGGAACATCCCAGCTCCAGAAAAACGGGATTTTCCCGTGTTTGATGCCCGTTTTGGTGGCTGTGCAGGTAGCTCACCGATCCTGTGCAGCTGCAGGTGCCTCTGCACCTCTCCCGGCGTGGGGCTGGCGCCCAGGCACTGCATCACTGCCAGCAGGTCCGAGGCTTTGATCTTCCCTTTTTGTTTCTTGTCGTACAGGGAAAAACATTCCTTGAACTCTAATTAAGAACCAAACCTCGGTTAGCCGGCGGGATCCCGCTGAGCCCCGCGCCGGGGCCCGGGCAGGATTCCAGCCGGGATCCGCTTCCAGCGCGGGGGTGTCGCCTTTCCAGGAGGGTGATGGGCACGGGGGGGGGAACCAGGGGGAATTAAGGGTAATTAAAACCCCGAGCGGCGCTAATTGGGGCACTCCAGGCTGAGGAAGCGCGGCTGGGAGGGGAGAAGGGCTGAGAAACCGGAGGGGTTTGGTTAAAAGTGCTTTTCCTGCCTTGGTGGGGTGGGAGAGAGGAGGATGAGGGGGAGGATGAAGGAGAGAGGGGGAAGAGAAGGAAAAAAGGAGAAGAGGGAGAAGGAAAAGAGGAGGGAAAGAAAGTAGAAGGAAAAGTGGAAGGAGGGGAAGAAGGAAATGAAAGAAGGAAAAGGAGAGGAGAGGAGAGGAGAGGAGAGGAGAGGAGAGGATGGTGGAGGAGGAGGAAGATTTTGGAGGTGGAGGCTGCAGAAACCCGGCCTCGTTTGGTGCCATCCTTGTCCCCTCTGTCCCCAGCCCTCGCTGCTGGGGCGGCTGCAGCAGGCCGGGCTCCCCCAAGGATGCCCCGGGGGTTCCCGTGGGCGCCGTGGCCTCCCCCGGCCCGGCCGCCTCCTCCGCTCGGCGGAGCTGATCAGATTTGCAATAATGCTCTCATTAATACTCTCATTAATGCCCTAATTAATACCCTTATTTCAGCTTCCTTCGGCCGTTCCCGGAGCAATCCCAGCCCCGGGCGCGGCTCCCCTTTCCCAGGGCGGCTCGCAGTGGGAATTTGGATCCCCTGCGCTGCCTCCTTCCTCCTCCTCCTCCTCCTCCGGCTGCTCTTGCGCTGCAGCATTCCCCTGGACTGGGGAGATTCCCCTGGATTGGGGAGGTTTCCCTGGAATTGGGGAGGTTTCCCTGGATCCCGCAGAGCCGGGAGCAGGCACTGAGAACAGCGAGCCCACCCCCGCGACACTCTGGGGGGCAAAACGCCATTTTTTACATAAAACAAATTTAATCTCGTAATAATTAACGCTCGAAGCGGAACAAAAGCGGAACAAACCCGCACCTACCATTAATCTGATCCTGGGACAGGAACTTTGCCTGGAGCAGGAACAGAGAGAGAAAAAAAAAAGAAAAAAAACAAAAACAAACAAAAAAAACAAAAACAAAACAAAACAAAAAAAAACAACAAAAAAACCAAAAAAAACCAAAAACAAACAAACAAAAAAAAAACAACAAAACAAAAAAAAACAACCAAAGCGAGCGGGTTTAAAAATGCGATTTTGGGGCGCAGAGCGGGCGGGGGTCGCAGGCGTCACTCACCATTTTTGGGGACAATTCCTGCGCTCCGGGAGCGGCTGCGGCCACTTGCGGCTCTTCCCGGGGCTAAAGTCCGCGCGGGCGGGCGGAGGCTGGAATAAATCCCGCTGCCATGGCTACGGCAGCGCGGCCCGCCGGGAAAAGCGAATTCCCAGCCTCGGGATGGGCTCGGGGGCTCCAAACCACCGGGCTGAGCATCCCGAAGGAGCGCAGCCGGCACTGAGCTTGGCTGCTGGGAGAGGAGGGGGAGGAGAGTGCAAAAAAATCCAGAAATTCAAAATTTAAAAAGAAAAGAAACCCAAAAAATTAAAAAAAAACAACCAACCAAACAAAAACCCCAACAAACCAACAATTAAAAAAAAATCCAAAAATTAAAAAAAAAAAATCCAACAATTTCAAAAATTAAAAAAAAAATCAAAAAATTAAAAAAATCCAACAATTAAAAAAAATCCAAAAATTAAAAAAAAATCCAACAATTTCAAAATAAAAAAAAAATAAGAAAAAAAAAATCCAACAATTCTAAAATATAAAATTCCAAAAATTAAAAATATCCAAAAAATTTTTAAAAATTTAAAAATTAAAAATTAAAAAATTTAAAAGCTAAAAATTCCAAAAATAATAATAAAAAAATCTAAAAGTTAAAAAAAATCTTAAAATTCCAAAATAAAGAAACCCAAAAATTAAAAAAAATCTAACAATTAAAAAAAAAATCAAAAAATCCAAAAATTAAAAAAAAAAATTAAAATTCCAAAAATAAAAAATTAAAAAATCTAAAATTCCAAAAATCAAAAAAATAACAAAAAATTTCTAAAAATTCCAAAATAAAGTAATCCAAAAATTTAAAAACAAATCCAACAATTAAAAAAAATATTAAAAAATAAAAAAATCCAAAAATTAAAAAAAAATTAAAATTCCAAAAATAAAAAATTAAAAAATCTAAAATTCCAAAAATCAAAAAAATAACAAAAAATTTCTAAAAATTAAAAAAGAAATTGTAAAATTCCAAAATAAGAAAATCTAAAAATTAAAAAAAATAAATTAAAAATTGCTGAGGGCTCTGGAGAAGGGTGAGGGGATGTCTGCATTGCAGGAGGGTTGGTGGGGAAGGGGTCTGGATGTGTCCCAGGAATTCACGGACAGCCCGAGGAGGATGGGAGCTGTTTCCTGAGGTTTTATTAGGATTTCTGAGGTTTTATTGATTAGGATTTCACAGGCAGGGGGGGATGCAGCAGGCGTGGGGCACATCCAGAGCCAAGGACAAAAAGGAAGTGCCTGGGAGCTCTTCCCGAATGTTTTTATTCCCAATTTCCCCCGGAGATTTCCTCCTCCCTCCGTGGGAGCTGCTCAGCCCTGGCTCCCCTCTGGGGCTGGTTTTGGGGAATTCTCAGGGATTCTCGTGTCTGAGTGACAGCTGAAGCAGAGATCCTTGGAGTCCTTGATGGATTCTGGGGCAGGTTTTGGGGAATTCTGAGGAATCTTCACCCCCTGAGTGAGAGCCGGTGGTGCTGATGTACAGATCCCTGGAATTCACCCCCTGCCCGATGGATTTTGGGTTGTTTTGTGGGGAATTCTGAGGGATTCTCATGTCTGAGTGAGAGCTGAAGGTACTGGGGCACAGATCCCTGGAATTCACCCCCTGCCCGATGGATTTTGGGTTGTTTTGTGGGGAATTCTGAGGGATTCTCATGTCTGAGTGAGAGCTGAAGGTACTGGGGCACAGATCCCTGGAATTCACCCCCTGCCCGATGGATTTGGGGTTGTTTTGTGGGGAATTTGTCCTTTTGTGAGAGCTGAAGGTGCTGGGGCAGAGATCCTTGGAATTCACCCCCTGCCTGATGGATTTTGGGTTGTTTTGTGGGGAATTCTGAAGGATTCTCATGTCTGAGTGAGAGCTGAAGGTGCTGATGCACAGATCCTGGGAGTTCCCTCCTGCCCGATGGATTTTGTGTTGTTTTGTGGGGAATTTGTCCTTTTGTGAGAGCTGAAGGTGCTGGGGCAGAGATCCTTGGAATTCACCCCCTGCCTGATGGATTTTGGGTTGTTTTGTGGGGAGTTTTCCCTTGTGTAGGAGCTGGCAGTGCTGGGGCCCAGACCCCTGGAGTTCACCCCCTGCCCGATGGATTTTGGGGCCATTTGTGGGGAATTGGCCCCTCCTGCCTCATTCCTGTGCTCAGCAGTGAGAGCGAGTTAATTAAACCTAATTAATCCCCTCCCTGACCAGCCGTAATCATCACACAGCCACCACCACCACTCCGGGATTTATTCCAAACACACGGACCTACATTAGAAAAAAACTAGATTTCTTCTTCTTTTTTTTTTTCCCCCCCCCCCCCCCCCTCAAAAATACCAAAAGCTCAGAAACCGCCCTTGGCTGCGTGCAGGTTGTTCATGTGCAGGGTGTAGAAGGCCCAGGGCTCGGGGATGTAAATCACCCCGGGGTACTTTTTCCGGAGGATTTTGTCATTCCAGAGCCAGCCCACCCAGGCGGCGATGAGGAGCAGGGTGATGATGAAGGAGAGGAAGAGGAAGAGCCCGTTGCTGTCCAGCACCAGCCCCTTGCGCCGCTGGTGCAGCACCAGGGCCATCATGGCGAAGAAGGTGAAGATGTAGAGGATGAAGATCTGGCCCTCGGTCACCAGGTACCTGCGGGGGGAATTCCTGGGATCCCGGGCTGCTGGGAGGGCATTCCCAGCTCTGTGGGATCAGAGGTGATCCTGGGATCACAGGGAGGGCATTCCCAGCTCTGTGGGATCAGAGGTGACCCTGGTGATCCAGGGAGGGCATTCCCAGCTCTGTGGGATCAGAGGTGACCCTGGGATCACAGGGAGGGCATTCCCAGCTGTTCTGGGATCAGTGCTGACCCTGGGATCACAGGGAGGGCATTCCCAGCTGTTCTGGGATCAGAGGTGATCCTGGGATCACAGGGAGAGCATTCCCAGCTTTTCTGGGATCGGTGGTGATCCAGGGAGGGCATTCCCAGCTCTGTGGGATCAGAGGTGACCCTGGGATCACAGGGAGGGCATTCCCAGCTGTTCTGGGATCAGAGGTGATCCTGGGATCACAGGGAGAGCATTCCCAGCTTTTCTGGGATCGGTGGTGATCCAGGGAGGGCATTCCCAGCTCTGTGGGATCAGAGGTGACCCTGGGATCACAGGGAGGGCATTCCCAGCTGTTCTGGGATCAGAGGTGATCCTGGGATCACAGGGAGAGCATTCCCAGCTTTTCTGGGATCGGTGGTGATCCAGGGAGGGCATTCCCAGCTCTGTGGGATCAGAGGTGACCCTGGGATCACAGGGAGGGCATTCCCAGCTGTTCTGGGATCAGAGGTGATCCTGGGATCACAGGGAGAGCATTCCCAGCTTTTCTGGGATCGGTGGTGATCCAGGGAGGGCATTCCCAGCTCTGTGGGATCAGAGGTGACCCTGGGATCACAGGGAGGGCATTCCCAGCTGTTCTGGGATCAGAGGTGATCCTGGGATCACAGGGAGGGCATTTCCATCTTTTTTGGGATCAGTTTTGATCCTGGGATGCAGACAGAGCATTCCAGCTCTTTTGGGATCAGTTTTGATCCTGGGATCACAGGGAGAGCATTCCCACCCGCAGAGCAAAAGCTGCCCTAGGGGATGGAGCAGCTTTTCCTGGAGTATTCCTGGGAACTCCTGGAGCATTCCTGTGGCATTCCCTCCCCAGCCCAGGCACTCACCAGTAGTAGAGGCTGCTGGGCCCCACCAGGAGCAGGGCAGCCAGGGGCATCCGGCCCTGCTCCGCCGCCGGCGTGAAGCAGCCGGTGAAATAAATGAACAGGATCAGGAAAAACGGGATGTACCTGGAAAAACCGGCAATTCCCAGCGCTGGGATGAGCCTGGAAGGGATTGGAACTGCCCCAGATCCACCCCACACCCAGAGCTGCTCCTGTGCTGAGCCTGGGGATGGAGCAGCTGTGGGATTCCCTGCTGTGGGATTCCCTGCTCGGGGATTCCTGTAGCTGTGGAATTCCCTGCTCAGGGATTCCTGTAGCTGTGGGATTCCCTGCTATGGAATCCCCTGCTGTGGGATTCCCTGCTCAGGGATTCCTGTAGCTGTGGGATTCCCTGCTGTGGGATTCCCTGCTCAGGGATTCCTGCTGCCTCCCCAGGGCACAGCAGGGCCTGGGCAGGGGCTGGGTTTGTCCTGGGCTCTGCAGATCCAGAGAATTCCCAGCCTGGGCCAGGAAAAGCCCAGATTTGCTGATGAAGGCAAAGCTGGGCTCCAGTGCTGCCTTGGACAATTCCAGCAGGGCATTCCCAGGCTCCTGTGCTGTGCCTGGGACGTGGAGCAGGATTCCCAAACCCCTAGAGCCCTTGTTCCCTTTAAAGGGCTCCAAAGAACGGGGTTTGCTCCTTCCCAGCACTCCTGGAACCCCAAATCAGCCAGGAGGGATTTCCCCAGGATCACCTGGAGCGGATCCAGGCCCAGCCAGGCCCTCCTCTTGGGATACTTGGGGTGTTTGGGGTATTTGTTTGGGGTACTTGGGATCTTTGGGGTGTTTGTTTGGGATGTTGGGGTGTTTGGGGTATCTGGGGTGTTTGGGATATTTGGGATGTTTGAGGTGTTTGGGATATTTGGGATATTTGGGGTGTTTGGGGCACATCTGGGGGTGCTGGAGGAGGAACCTTCTGTGCACCCCTGGAAGGACAAGCTGTTCCTCTGGTCCTCAATCCCAAAATATCCCTGAGCAGAGGGGATTTTCCAGCAATTGCCAGATCCACCCTAATCTGGATCCTAATCCAAATCCAGCCCTGGCCAGCAGAACATTATCCCCAGCCAGCTCTGGCTTGGGTTTTTTTTTTCCCACTTTAAGCTCTGCCCTTCCCCCTGTGCCATCCCATAATCTCTGGACCTGCTGGGAATCACTCACCACATGGAGTGCCCCAAATACTCGTCGTAGTAGTAGAGCAGCTCGAAGGAATCGATCTGTGACAGGACAGGGGGAGAATCCCAGTGAGCAAACGAGCACAGCTTCATCACTCATTAATTCAGGTTTTAGAAACGCCTGAGCCCAGCTCAGCCCCTTCCCCAGGTCATTCATAAATTCAGATTTTGGAAATGCCTGAGCCCAGCTCAGCCCCTTCCCCAGGTCATTTATAAATTCAGGTTTTAGAAACGCCTGAGCCCAGCTCAGCCCCTTCCCCAGGTCATTCATAAATTCAGGTTTCAGAAATGCTTGAGCCCAGCTCAGCCCCTTCCCCAGGTCATTCATAAATTCAGATTTTGGAAATGCTTGAGCCCAGCTCAGCCCCTTCCCCAGGTCATTCATAAATTCAGGTTTCAGAAATGCTTCAGCCCAGCTCAGCCCCTTCCCCAGGTCATTCATAAATTCAGGTTTTAGAAATGCTTGAGCCAAGCTCAGCTCCTTACCAGGGTCTCAGGTTTGAGGTTCCTTTACCATTTATACATTCAGATTTTACAAACCCTGCTCAGCCCTCTCCAGGATCTCAGGTTTGAGGTTCCTTTACCATTTATGAACTCAGATTTTACAAACCCCGCACAGTCCCTTACCAGGGTCTTGGGTTTGAGGTTCCTCTATCATTTATAAATTCAAGGTTTACAAACCCCTTTCAGCCCTCACCAGGGTCTCGGGTTTGAGGTTCCTGATGATGGGGTTCTCCCTGACGGACAGGTGGTGCTGGTACCCGCTGAAGATCAGCCGGTGGTTCACCGAGTCTCCCACCAGGTGGATGCTGGCTCCCATCACGAAGGTGATGATGCTGACGTACACCATGGACCTGGGCAGGGTCTTGGGGGACCTCTCGATGAGCTGCAGGCACAGGGAGGGCGTGAGGAGGAGGAGGAGCCGGGACCTGGCAGCTCCTGCCCTCGATGGGTTTTGGGTTTTTTTTTTTGCCAGAGTGCTCAGAAATTCATCACCAAAACCTCCAAAATATCCTGAGTTCAAAGAGACCCAAAAAATCATCAAGTCCAACTCCTGACTGAACCCATGCTGGGGTCAAAGGCACAGGTTTTGTGTTTTTAGCACCAGGAGCTGATAGAGTTAGGCTGTGCTGAAGAGAAGGGATTGCTTTCTGCAGGCAAGGCACCTGTACCTCACCAAAATCCAATTTCAAGCACTCTGCCTTTCACTGAAAGTTGCTACTAAAACAGATCCCAAGAGTTTCATGTCATAACAGCAACAGATAGTCTTGGTTTATTGGGATAGGAATTAGAAATGGCATTAAGTGTCATTTTAAATGAACCCAAGCTAAATATTCTAAGACAAATATTGTCATTCTGCCAGGGTGCTTCAAATCATGTTTCACAGGCCTGGTTTTAAGCATTGTCCTTAGGTTTTAAGGACCTCAGGTTTTAAAGGTATAAACTCAGCAAATCCCTTTTTCTAAAAGATGTAACAACCTGTCCTGCTTTAGGGCAACTTTGGGAGGAAAACCTCTAAAGGGGTTTCTGCTGCTCTCAAGCCCAAAAGTTCGTTTGGTTTGCTGTTAACGAGGGTTTCCTCATTAAAAGGCCGTGGTTCTCCTGCCTCCGGAGAGGATTGGGAGGTTGGATGTGCCCTCCAGTGGCAGCAGAGCCTCCAGCACAGAGCTCCTCATGCTTCCCATCCTGTCTGGACACTTCAGGATCCCCCAGGTGAACATTTTGGGGTTCTGCTCCCTTTCTTCCCAAGGGAATGGGACTCAGCTCCACAGAGAGCTTCAGGATCCCCCAGGTGAACATTTTGGGGTTCTGCTCCCTTTCTTCCCCAGGGAATGGGACTCAGCTCCACAGAAAGCTTCAGGATCCCCCAGGTGAACATTTTGGGGTTCTGCTCCCTTTCTTCCCCATGGAATGTGACTCAGCTCCACAGAGAGCTTTAGGATCCCCCAGGTGAACACTTGGGGTTCTGCTCCCTTTCTTCCCCAGGGAATGGGACTCAGCTCCACAGAGAGCTTTAGGATCCCCCAAGTGAACACTTTGGGGTTCTGCTCCCTTTCTTCCCAAGGGAATGGGACTCAGCTCCACAGAGAACTTTAGGATCCCCCAGGTGAACATTTTGGGGTTCTGCTCCCTTTCTTCCCTAGGGAATGGGACTCAGCTCCCCACAGTTTGACCCCACAGCCAGGAGGAGCCGAGTGCCACAAAACCACTCGGGGCAATTTTTGGGCACCACTTTCAGTGCTGGGCTCTCTCCCTGCCCCATCTCGAGCACCTGAGGCTGGCTCCAGCCTTGGAACAGCAGCAGGAATTTTGGGATGCAGCTCCACACCCAGCTTCCACAGCAGGAAAGAGCTCCCGAGGCAGATCCCAGCTCCAGGAGTTTTCCAGCTTTGGCTGGGTCAGCTCTGGGATCAGCCAGGGCCCCCCCCACTCCCTAAATCAGCTTTGCAGCCCTCCCCAAGCAGGGAAAAGCTCCTTATTTGTGTTTAATTTTGACCTCATTTGGGTTTAATTTGGAGGCTTAGCTTTCCCTTCCCCTGGAGCTGCAGCAGGGACGTCACAGGAGGACAAGGAGAGCACAAGGTCCTGGAGGGGACAGGAGGCTGGGACACGTCCCTGGGCCAGGGAAATGCATCCTGGACTTTCCTGTGGGTGAGCCCTGCAGAAATCACCTGGGAAGGGTCAGCTCCCTCCTCCTGGATATTCCCTTTTTGCCCCCAGCCTCGAAATCCTCCCGGAATATCGAGAGGGAATCATTTCCACCTCAGGCCATAAGTGAATTCCCAGCTAATGAAGGTTAAAATAGATTTATAATTGTTTTCTCCTGAAGTGTTTAATGAGAAAAGATTCCTAATGATCTGACAGGGCTTCACCTCATGAATGGTTTATGGGATCCAGAGGTTGGCAGCTGGAGCCAGATAAATTCCAGCTCCAGCCACAATTCCAACGTCAAAGATCAAATGTAATTAAGCTCTGAACAATTCAGAAAATCCACTCTGCTTCCAGATGCCTTTTAAGCCAAGGGTGGATGTTGTCCTAAAAATATCATTTGGGAAAAGGGCTCTGACTCCTCCCAGAGCCAGAATTCCAGGGGGAAGTGATTTGCTTGGGATATACAGGAAATTGAGGTGCTCTTTAAAAGGTGGCACCACAAATCCTTCCTGGAGTGAGAAACTCTTCCTAACTGGAAGGAATTTGGGAATAACCAACATCCTAAAATCCTCTGAGCCTTTGCAAAACCAGGAATGGAAAACCCTGAACATTCCCAGGTTTACCTTCAGCTCTGACTCCCCCTGGGGCCAGAATTCCAGGGGGATTTGCTCTGGAAATTGAGGAGAGGCATTGCAAATCCTCGGAACTCTTCCTTAGTGGCAGGAATTTGGGGATAACCAACACCCTCAAAACCTCTGAAACTTTACAAGATTGGGAATGGGAAAACCCCTGGACATTGCCAGGTTTACCTTCAGCAGCAGGAAGGGGGTGATAACGTTGTAAGCCATGTGGAAATAATCTCCAGCACTGGGTTTGTTCAGAGGAAACCATTCCAGAGGGAGGATGATCTGAGGAGAGAGGGAAGAGCAGCACATCAGCGATCACGGGAGAGGGAAAAGGTCGGGATTGCTTGGGAATGCTCAGCTGGGCTTCCAGGGGGTTGGTAGGGACCAAGCTGGGCAGCTCATCTTGGAGCAAACTTCCCAAAAATCACCCTCTGGAAGTTTTCACTCCCAGCCCTGCCTGGTGCTGGCAAGGCATTTGGAACTCCTGGATCTTCCTGAACTTTCTGACAGCTTCCAACTCGAAAAAATTCCATTGAAATGGAACGGCCACTCCTGGAAGCTGCAGCCCCAGGCTCTGGGATAGAGGCAAGGAATGGGGAAGAGCAGGAGGAACCTCCCAGCTGTGAAACAAAGGTGTGGGAGAGAGAACCGGGAACAGCTTTCCCAGAGGCTGGAGCTGGCTTGGCCAGAGCGGGGCAGTGGTCCCAGCTCCTCCAGGACACCCCCCTGGCTCAGGGGACAGCCCTGGGGACCCCCCTGGCCCTGTCCCCCCACTCACCATGGCGATGGGGCGCCCAAAATCCAGCACCCAGTTCTGCAGGGTGAAGTAGAACCACAGGTCCAGGTGGAACGGGGACGTCTTGAAGGTGTCCTCAGCCTTCACTGCCCCGTGCCTGGAGGGGACAGAGGGACACGGACCCCTGGAGCAGCTCTGGGAGGAGGCAGAGCTGTCACCCCATGCCAGAGCTGCGCTCCCCTGGCTCCGGGAGCTGCGGGATAACAGAGCTGAGGAGCAGGCAGGACAGGAGAGCACGAAGCTGTCGCCGTCCCTGACCCGTCCCTGTGGGGAGGCTCTTCCCGGTCTCTTCAGCAGGGTGAAAAGTGCTGAATTAAGTGCAACTATTTTTAACTTTTGCATGATGAGGCAAAATCCCAACTTCCAGGAGTTGAGCTGAGGGCTAAAAATGCGGCGCGGCCCGGCGGAATTCCTGCACCGGGATGCTCGGGATGCAGCGTCACCTTCAATCCAGCTCCCAGCACCCTCTGCCTCTGCCAAGGATCCAGCCCTGACGGAGCCCTTCCATGAAATGCCTCCCCAGCACCTCTGGACCTTCACCTCCCTGCAGGAAAAGAGGATCAATGCCTCTCCTGCTGCCGAGACCAGAACGGGATCAGCTGGAGCAGCCTCCAGCATGGGCTGCCCAAAATCCATGGAAGTGCCCCTGCCCATGGACTGACAGGATCCTTAAGGTCCTTTCCACCCCAAACCACTCTGCGATGATTCAATGAACCCCGAGAACTGGATGGTGAGGATGGGGTACCCTGGATGAGCTGGGAATGATGCAGCTCCCTGGAAGAGTCTGCCAAACCCTGGATCGGCTGGGATAACCCAGGTACGCCGGGATGCCACGGACAAAGCCGAGTGGGGGAACCTTGGGGGACCCCGACCCTCGGGATATCCCAGATCCCGATCCTCGGGATATCCCAGATCCCGACCCTGGGGATGTCCCGGACCCTGATCCTCGGGATATCCTGGGCCCTGATCCTGGGGATGTCCCGGACCCCAACCCTCGGGATATCCCAGACCCCGACCCTGGGGATGTCCCGGACCCCGACCCTCGGGATATCCCAGACCCCGACCCTGGGAATGTCCCGGACCCCGCATCATCCGGTGGTGGTACCCGGGAAGGGGCCGGGCTGTCCCGGGGGGCTCGGGGAGGGCTGAGCCGCGGGTGTTGGATGGGGTGAGGATCCCCAGTGAATCCGGGGTGGATTTTCCCGTTCCCGACCCCGCCGAGCCCCGTCCGCGCTCACCTGCCCGGGTAGAGCGGCCCGGCGGGCGGGGGCGAGCCCGGGGCCGCGGCCGGGAACGGCCGGCGCCGCGCCGAGCCGGCTGTGCCCATGGGCACACCGGAGTGCTCCGCGAGCAGAGCTGGCACAGAACGCTCAGGGCATTCCGTGCAAACCCACAGCTCCGATCCCCGGGTTTATTGGGAATGAGGAGCTGGAGCAAACGCTCCAGCCACGAGCTGACGCTGCTTTTCCCGAGTTCCCATTTCCCTGGGTCATTCCCAGTGGATGCCCCGCTCCGGTCCCTGCTCTCGGTTTTGGATGGATAAATCCATGGGGATGGGGTCACTCCCAGGCAGGGAGGGATTCGCAGCCCTCGGGAATGAATTTGGACTCGCTGGGGTTTGGAGTTTTGGGTCTAAACCGGGAGGTGCATCCTGCCATGGGCAGGGACGTTTTCCCAGGATTATCCCAGGTTGCTCCCAGCCCTGTCCAGCCTAGCCTTGGACACTTCCAGGGATGTGGCAGCCACAGCCAGGGCCTCCCCGTCCTCACAGGGAAGGAAGTCTGAGGCACCAAATCCCTCCAGGAGGGCTTGGTGTGGGCACGGAGGCTCCATCACCCCTGGGATGGGAGCTCCGTGTGCCACACCCTGTCCCCATTCCCTTAGGTGTGACATGGAATGGGAACAGGACAACCCCTGGGAGCTGCTGTGTATTCCACCGAGGAATTCTGGCCTGGAATTCTGGTCCCACCGAAGCTGAGCAGGCTCCCAGAAGCAGCAGAAGGGAGATCTTGGTCCCTCTCCAGGAGCAGGGGATTGTCCCCACGCCATCCCTGCTCCCCCAGCAGGACAGGGGGGACACCTGGGAAAATATTCCTGAAAAGTGGAGGAGGTCACCGAGATAACAGAGCCACTTAATCTTACCAGGACCCAGCTTGTCACCCTGAGCCTGACACGGCTACGTGGCTCTAAACAGGGCTGGCCACGGCCTGGCTCGTGTCCCCTCGTGTCCCCCGGGCTCTCCGGGCTCCGGCTGCTGCTCCATGAATAATGCACATCCCACAGAGCGCCGCGGCTCCGGTGTCAGGGCTCCAAGTTAAAAATTAACAGGGCTGAGACCGGATCCCCCGCAGGACAATGGTGCAGCAGATGGGGCCGGGGTGGTGTCCCCTTACGGCTGGTGGCTCGTGTCACCAGCAGCTGGGGAGGTGGCCCAGCAGGGGCTTGGGGTGACAGGTGTGTGACCAGGCTGGTGGTGTGTCCCCAAAACCTGGGGTGAGGGTCGTGTGTGTGCTGGGGGCACGGCTGAGGTGATGGGAGCTGCTGGTTCTGGCTTAAGAAACCCAAACTGAGCCAAACCCAGCCCAAACCAGCGCAGCTGAACCCAGCTGAGGACAGTCCAGTCTAACCCAGCCCAAATAAACCCAGCTCAGCCCGACCCAGTGCAGATGAGCCTGGCCCAGCCCAGCCCAACTGAACAAACTCCAGCCCAACCCAACCCAACCCAGTCCAACCAACCCAACCCAGTCCAACCCAATCCAGTCCAACCCAACCTAATCCAGTCCAACCCAACCCAACCCAGTCCAACCAACCCAACCCAGTCCAACCCAATCCAGTCCAACCCGACCCAATCCAGTCCAACCCAACCCAATCCAGTCCAACCAACCCAACCCAACCAAACCCAGTCCAACCCAACCAAACCCAGTCCAACACAACCCAATCCAGTCCAACCCAACCCAGCCCAATCTCACTCTCCACACTCCCTGACAGGAAGGGCAGCCAGGGAGGGTCACATTCAGCTCCCAGGGAACAGGGACAGGATTTGAAGACATTTACTTAAACTGCACCAGAGTTGAGGTTTAGGTTGGATTTAGATTGGACTTCAGGAGGAATTTCTCCATGGAAAGGGTGGTCAGGCATTGGAAGGGCTGCCCAGGGGGATTTGGAGTCCCCATCATTGCAGGTGTCCAAGGAATTCCTGGATGTGGTGCTGGTGACCTCGGTGGCCTCGGAGGTATTTTCCAGCCTCAGTGGTCGAGCAGTGGAAATGAGGATGAAGAGCTGAGCTGGGGACACGAGCGGTTGTCTGTGTTATTGTGTTTTGGGGACACTCGGCTGTGCCCTGGCAGTGCTGCAGATGCCTGAAGTCTGAGCTTTCCTGTTTCCCAGATTCTGTACTGCATTGTGTATAACTGAACTCCATATGAAGTGTCAGCAGCTCTCCTCACAGCTCGGTCAGACAAAACAATCCTTTTCCAGCCCCAGAACCAAGGACACCGCTGCAGCTTCAGGCCTAGAAAGTGCAAACAACAGCAAATTGAGGAGAGCAACCTGAGAGGATGGGACTGCACCACCTGGAGCTGCAATTGGACAATTAACCCCAACATGGAAATAGACCAAAACTTATAAAAAGTGTGAAACTCGTGACCTGGAGTCCAACTTGGGCGTAGCCACGGCCAGGCCCTTCCACTGCCCAAGGTGTATCCTTTGAAGGCCTTTTAGCAAACCCCTGCTTTATTCTTTAACCGTGCCGGGCTGTGTTCCGGGCAGCCCCTCAGGCCGCGCCGCCTCGGCCCGCACGCTCCGCAGCGCCTTTCCGCCGGGGCTGCCGGAACGGCCAGGCCGGGCCGCGGCTGCCGGCCG